TAATAAACAAAAATATTTTATTTATCTAACTATTTCTTGACATATCAGCTACACTTACTATTATTTTTAAAAACCGTATTGAAACCTGTGAGGCATGAAAGCTGAGGTTTGTCATCACGAAACCTAAAACGTGATTTTTTTTATCTTAGCTTAAAATTAATCAAAATATGAGGAGGAAATAGCAGTCTGAAACCAAATAGCTGTTTCATTTTAACATGTTAGTACTAAAAATCAAGCATTATTGAAGTGGTTTAATTCTCAAGTCAAAATACTCATATGAGCTCGCTGATACAATATTTCAAACCACGACTCTAATAAATTCAGTCACGTTTTTTATTCTCAAACAACTGTGACTTTGGAATACATACTAACTTTCAGAAATTGTACAGTGTAAAATATTTTTCATAAAAACACTTAAACGAGATTTTCAGAACAAAACTGAGGAGAAAATTTTATCTAATTTTGAACCTAGTCATGTCTATGTACTAACATTTCCAGTGCTTGAACTAGTTCAACAAAGCTTCAAAGATTGTTTGTTTACAGTGTTAGGTCAATGATCAATGTTTGTTCAAATTCTCATAAAAGTCTATTTTTTTAATTAACTAAGATACCTCTAGAGATTATTTTCATTAAAAAAAGAAACTTTATAAAATAGATGGAACGTGGCTAGTAGTGGAATTCAGGACCTACTTGGGACTCGTCGGATGTATGCATCGCCAACCCAGTGTTGATGTTTACACTGGGACTTCAACCCAGTATCTTTCGCTTCAACCCCAAACACGTTATTCACTGAGTTACGAAATCCAGATAACCGCTCACTTGGGCAACGAGTATGTTATTTACATCGTTATTAGAATGACTTTGAATTATCCCATTGCTGAAACTGTTGCCAACCAAGATTGATCAAATTCAGTAAACATTATCACCAACGGCATAGGTCAAACCCATTCTGATAATAATGTAAAAATGAAATTATTTAAAAGACGACTTAAAACCAAGGACCACTCGACAACTGCTTCAGTCAAGTTCCTGACTCAACAGAAGTATGAAACGATGGTCAGATAACGGATTAAAAACATGACCTACATAATATCACGCAACCTATCAGTCGATGAACAGTGTATAATATAGCCAATGAATTACTATATCACTTCTAACTGGTCTGTTAATGAAAACAAATTTCAAGTTATATAAATCCATTCTTAAAATAACACCTTAACCTTAGTAAACAAGAAATTGTTTAAATAACCGGTAGATAAATCTAATTCATTAGACTTAAATGTTTATGAACATATGAATATAGCTGGACAAATTATATGTATACAAGGTTTCTGGGAGGTTGATATTGATACAACAGTTTCAATATAGTACATCAACATGTGTAAATAAAAGCACAATCTTCTAGATCACGAACTAACTTAGATGTTTATAATGACTATAATGTGAAAGGATACTCAAGATATCAATGAATACAAGTTGATTTTTTTATAAAATTACTATGGCTTTTCTTGCAGCTTATCAAAATACTGTTTCTGGTATGACTACTTAAAATAATTATGGAAAAAATGTTACTTGTCACTTGTTACAATGGAACAAGACTGATATGACTGAATGTAAGCAGTAAAGGTAAGACTGTATTTATGCACTAACCACTGATTTACAACAGATCAAATTCTAAAAAAATTATATAACTATTTTTTATCTATTTCAACTTTATCACCTGGATACTACGACTATCCTCTATATCATTCATTATAATAACTTGAAATTATACTGAATGAACAACCACCACTATCATTATTCAATAAACTTTTATGCTACGAAGAAGGAAATTATACCTCACAACTCATAACTGTTGAGACAATTATAAATCGTGACATTTTCAAATTTCTAGAGAATTCTTGTATCTAGTGTTTTATTTAGATTGATAGCTATAGATAAACGATAATGGACAGACAGCATTGGAAAATAATGAAGGAAAATTTTTTTTCTTACACTATTAAATGTAGCACAGTTCTTACTAATCATAAAATCTGAATAACAAAAATGACATATGAATATAAGTATATTGAATATATTATACATTTTCCATTGATGAATACTATGAATGTAACAGCTGAAAACAATACCCTGACAGAAATTCCACTATGATTTATACAAAGTGACTTATCGGATATTAAATAGTAACTTTACATGAATAGTTAGAAACAAATTATAGTTTACTATGAGAAACCAAACATTTTATCAGTTTTCCAAATCTATCATATTAGATAAGTACCAATCCATATGTGACTCGGTTTAATTCTACTTATTTATGACTATCATAAAAATGTTTAATTTAGTTAAAACATTTTAACAATCTAACAAAAGTCTGTTTATCATGCTCAATTATCAATTTTATCAAAATTATGCATGGTTATAATCAATTTAAGAAACAAAACATAATCTTGTCTAGTATGCTGCAATAATGTAACAGTGAATTATGTAACCAGACGAAAAGAGAAAAATTCTACCCTACACGTAAAATCCTCCTTTCTTTTTTTTTACAAATAACTAACTCTAGATATTTCGTAGATATGCATAAAGGTTTAATGTAAACTAGCTACTTAAAAAAGAAAAGTATCAAGTAAAACCATAAAAGTTATTTGACTAGAAAGGAAGAAACTAAGAAAAAAACCATTAGAAAATAAAGCATAAAATATGCGACAGTTTTTGTCTATTCCACTATGTGTGTGTAACCGTTGTAAAGCATAAATCATAGTTCTAAAAAAATATCTCTCCCAACCTATTCTAGTTCCTTGTTTTGCTTTACTTGAGGATTATTAGCAATCAGCATTAGACGATTGTCACCGCCCATCTAATATTGGGCTGATGCTTAATCTATTAGTGGAATTAGTCAAATTATATTTTTTCTTTGTTTTATTTTACAATATACCAGTCTTTTAATATCTTTAGTAAAATGATATAAGTGCAGGAACATGTAACTGATACAGTTGGATTTTAGTTGCACAGTTCAAAACGTAATCACGCTGTTGGGACGTAACCGTTTTAGGGTGGATTTTGGTGTTTTAAAATTGCTTAACTAAAAGTATGTCATTTCAGCAGAGTAAATATACTAATGATAATTCATGTAAAACTAAGTTATGTCCACTGATAATTCAACGTCACTTCAAGATACCCTATGAAAAGAATGACTTTCTTCTGGCATAATAAATCACATTCTAAAAAGCAATGTACAGGAAAAGTCTTGATGGATTACCAGGTCAGTTGGTGAATATTCGTTAGGCACGTGGTAATAGTCGATGTAAAAGAAAATCACCCAACTTTATGCAGCTAATGTTAGGTCAAGATAGAAGAAAATGTGAAGAAGTAACAGTTATTAGAACATAATACAACATTTTCATGATAAATTTGCTAGTTTCGAATTAAAATTGGTCCTAAAGTTACAACATCTAAATCAATGAAAATTTATTGCTCAAAAGTGATTAAATTTAAAAAAATTTCTCAAAGTTTCCGTCTGAAGTCAGAATTTGTCAAGTAAACTGGGTCGAGATTGGGACAACACTTCACAGGTAAAATTTGTTGAAACATCGACCGATATCCGGACCCGATTACACTTGAAAAAAACGACAAATTAATGTCAACCTAATCCTTTGAAAATATCATGCTCTTCAAAAGACACGGAAGACCTGTTTTCTGTGCTATATCTTATCGTAAATGGTCATTTCAACAGAATCCTAAACAGGGATGAATTGATTAGCTTATCTTACGTGTTTTTCCGTTGCCCATCACTATACTTCAGATCGTAGTGAAAATTACAACATTCACAGTACCACGTAATGGAAACTTTTAATTTTCCTAAAACTATATTTTCAGTAAATGATATTTTAAGAAAATGATACAAAAATTTTCAACAAATGTTACTGTTGTACATTTTGTCTCCATGTCCTGAAGTCAGTTTCATAAAGTTGAATAATTCCAATTTATTGTTACTTGTAGTATAGAGATAAGTAATTTTCTAGACGCTATAACTTAAAATTAAGCGAAGAATCCGAAACTACTTAGGCTGTCGACAAAACGACTGGTCAAGGCGGTCTCAAAATCATCAACATCAAAAACACATAATATAAACGTGATTAATAATTTGAATATGCTTTTTTACTCTTTAAATTAGTTGATAAAAAGCATACTTAGTTAAGAAGCTGATTTACAATTATTAGGATCTAGAAGGACTGTTGTTACGCATTATTTATGGTATTGAAGCGAAATTTAAAATCATGCTAGTGAATTCAGATAAGCACAATTTAAACGATCATCTCACTGCTTTACTGCCATATCTACACGATTTGATTATTACATAAATCATTTTAAATAGACTTCAAAAAACAAATTGATGAAAGTCATGGAATTTGAAATGGGAATACCACTTAGGTACATTAGGTCACTTATGATGACATTATGATAAATTCATTGATCAGTTCAGTAAATAAACCGTGTTCCTACTACGATTGTTCTAAATGCATTAACTTTAAATAGTACAGGAAGATGGCAGGTTCTAGAGATCAACAGTCAAATTACTGATGAACGGCATTTGTTGTAAGCATTCAACTGAACTATACTCGTGAACAACATGATTTCTTTAATGAAACTCCGCCTATAGCTCTTCTAGAGTTACTGCCGGTCCCAAGCCTGGGTAAAGGAGGAGGGTTGGGTATGGGATCGGTAAATCCATCCCATAGAAAAGAAATCTTGAAAAAAAAAACGCCAACCAGAATGAAATAAACAAATATCTAATATGAACCTATAGTACAAGAAAGGGAAAAAACATGTCATCAAAGTTTACTGAAGCTTTTATTTCTTTGCATAGCTTTTCCTTAATTCAATAATAACTATAAGTCGATAAACGATGTACGTACGTACGAAGTTCTACGTTGTTACTGACTGACTGACTGATAAACGATAATTGATTATTTAAAAGGAAAAAGCATTAATAAACTTACTGGCTTTGCATGGGTCAAGCCAATTGCTTTCTGGATACAATATAGCCAAATCTTTCTCTGGCTCAAATTTTAGTGACTTTGGTATGAAATAGTTTACTTCTTCATGTAATCTTTCAACGAATAATGTGTTCTTTGATATGTTATGATCTTTAAAAATCTTTTTGTGCGTCGATTTTGAATTTGTTTGAGTTACATTAGAAAATCTACTATTATGATTATTAGTAGTATTAATATTCATTTTGTGCTTTTTGACTTTGTAATTATGTGGTTTCTGAAAATATGAACCATTATATGATTGAAATTGATTCTTGATTAATTGACTCCCTGAAACAGATGGACCAGGATGAATGAAATATACTTTCGGTATATTTATTATTGTTTCTTCAGTTACATGTGGATTCAGCCAAACCAACTGTATGTTTACAATTAAATGTACAAATGCATTTATTAAGATAAAGAAATGATCAACAGGAAAATTCATTTGAATAATAGTGTATTCAATATATATGTGTGTGCGTGAGATATAAATTCCGGTACAAATTGATTAATAAAATCTTGATTGCAAACTGAGCATAAACCCAGTCATCAGTACCTTCTCATTCTAAACAGTTTTTTTTAATTGTTGATTTCTAAACTATTTACTTGTGGATACACTGACTTATCTTTATAATTATTACTGATACACCTTAAGGATATATGGAGTCATCGAACAATTTACTTGGATGCATCAACTATTAGAAAGCAGAAATTTCAGTACATATAAAATAGTTTGCTTTAGAATCATTTTCGGACTTCATGATTGTCGATGAATAAGCGCATATTGATTAACTGATATGTGTTGTAATCTTGATTTCAGTCAATACAAAACTGTACAGAAACAATTTTGAGATTAGATGAGATAATGTTGTTAGAGTTACGTAGGGTATTATCGTCAAAAGGTCATAATTTATGGCATTGACCAATAGAGTTACTATCTCGACCCTATCACATATATATAGTGAAGTTTAGACACACTGCCTACACACGTATGTTACAAGCTTACAAGTCAGTCTCCCAATCAATTGTAAATTTTTAATAGTTTGCATTATTTGATTGTGTATATACGTACATGTATACACCAGTAGTATATGCCAAATTTTTTATTTCACTCAACACACCCAATAAACATGTGTGTACAAAGACAGCTGACGCATATCAATTAATATTATATTATACTATAGGCCTTAATATTTGCTAACGATTCATTGAGTTCTTAAGAATAGAAATGTTCATGTATTTGTACAGTACAACATCTCAAAGATCGGTACAAACGAAAACTTAATTATAAAGAAAATGCTTGAACATATTGTTTTATGATGTCTTCATTTTTCTCGCAACCATGTATATCAGATTATTGGTTTTTATATTCATGATGTAAATCAAATGTTGTCGACATTATAAAATGAGTCATATACGGTCTAATGCTATATATTACGTAACTTCATTGTGGTGTATTATCCTAAGATGTTAAGTTATAGAAGTTGAGGTGATCGACTTCTGTCTATGGAATCAGTTTCAACTTGGAATGCTAATATTTAGAGAGCCATTGAATATCAAGGTAAATTGTTTCGTTCTACTACTCAAGTTCTCCAAATTGAACAACAAAGATTTGTCATTTAATTGAGTTTCAGGATTTTAAATTTCTGGGAAAAGCATGATATCGTTCAATAATTGTGAAGTCACCAGTGTATTGTTTGTCTAGTCCTTTTAATGCTGATCGAATTTTATTCATTAAGTTGCAGTATGACCACCAGTCTAAGTGACTTGACATTTCATGAGCTATGTTGAGATATCAAGTTATTAGAGCTGCGAAACTGAGTAGAACAGCATAAAATCATCCAGTGAGCTCAAGTTCCCTCAAAATTACAGATACACCTTACTGACAAATGTCGGATAGCTTGGAATATAGGATGAGGGCGCGCAATCGACTACCGTTAACCATTTTACAACTAATAATCTTGAATAGATTACTTTTTGATGGAGAATTTCCATTTGTGTCCACAAGTTTGAACGTACACAAATCGATCAACATATAGTTCACATTTTTATCATTTAAAGACCCCCGTCATTTTAAAAGACTAGTATTTGAACGAAGAATATTCTTTTCGATAAATTCTCTTCAAGTTCTACAATTATATATCCAAATTAATAATCCGAAAAAAATGGCCAGGTTAAGGGCAAAGTACATCGTTTAAGGTGTGTGAATTTAGGATTGTGATAAACAAAATACAATAAAATTGTTAATGCTGATATGACTTATATAGAATGTTAACTTGAATCAGCTTATATGTTAGGTGAAATTTTAAGATCCATGATCAAAATAAATATGGGTCAAATAGGGTGACCTGATTGTATTGTCTCTGTTATCTTTATTCATAAATTATTATTCGTATTATTATTATTATTATTATTATTATTATTATTATTATTATTATTATTATTCGTATTATTGGTTAAACATCATTAATCTCCCCTATACATGATTCATTCACTTCGCATTCATCTCTCCGTATTACGTCTTACTTATTTGATCGAATTGTAATTGCACCATTATTTCTCTCTCACCCTATTTGACCCATATTTATTCTGATTATGGATCTAAAAATTTTACTTAACATATAAGCAGATTCATGTTAACATTCTATATGAGTCATATTAACATTAACAATTTTCACAGATTGAAATCATGAGTCAGTTGAAGCTAGACGACCATTAAAGACCTGGAAGCACTGGAGGGCCGTTTCATCCTAGTATGGGACTCCTCAGCAGTGCGCATCCACGACACCGCACCTCGCAGGATTCGAACCCAGGACTGACCGGCTTCGCGCGCGAGCACTTAACCATTAGACCACTGAGCCGGCATCCAACGGTGTCAATGTCTAACTTCAACCAATCCACGAAGTTGCACCACCGTACACTATTGTGTTCAGTGAGTTGATATCTCACAACAGAACTGGTTGATCTCTACTTGTAACGGCTTCTCACTAGAACTCCAGGATATACCTCTTGAAATCAGTCACCAGTGAGCAGATGATTATTATCAGAATGGGTTTTGTGGAGATTTTTAGAAATTTCAAAAGTTGGGATCATTAGTCAATTGAAGCTAGACCACCATGGAAAACCTGGAAGCGCGAGACTGATAGGTCCTGAGTTCGAATCTAACGGGGTGTGGGATCGTGGATGCGCACTGCTGAGGAGTCCCATACTAGGACTAAACGGCCGTCCATTCAACATTACATAGTAAGGAATTTGTTACGTTTGTAAATATTTCATAGTCTTAAAACCCAAAAAAAGGACATAGTTTTCTATAAACTGAAACTTGTATGCTAATTAGCTGTTGTATTTTTTCTTTTTCTCATTTGTTCCTGTTTCTTATTTCAATGTTACTCATTTGAATCAGAAAATGTTCTTTTTTTATTTTTTTGAAAAAAAATCTAAATTAAATGGGTAAGGTAACCTGTAGAAAAAAACATTTTGTAAACCAGAATTCATATTTGATAATAAAACAAAAAATATTTAAATTAAATAAATAAGCAAAATAATATTTTTCGAAAGTAATTAAAAGTTATGTTGTCCAGTGGGAAAAATCTTATTCTGTCTTTGATTTTTACCGAACACAGAATCATTGGAATAAAAGAAAAATGTACATATTCATTATTTTTTTTTAATGCATAGAAATTACACTAGCTGGAGAACTATTTATAGTTGAAGAAGAAAAAAAGAACATTGGTAAGCTACTTTATCTGCTTTAGACTCAATAAAAGGGGAAATAGAGAACTCAAGTTAATAATGATTCTCCTGATCTCCCACATTATCTGGACATCCCACATACCTATATTAATTGTTGCTCTGGTTGTCAGTAGGGGAATAGGTCTAATGACTTCCAAAGAAACTCGGCTTTCACCATGAACGCTTCATAATTATTTTGAATGAATATTCTTCAACTCAGAGGTCACAGTTTAAAATGTTTATTCTGGCTAGCGCTTTTTAAGCATGGTTGTTTTCTACAGGATGGAGTTGTTAACTTTATACCAAATCCTCTTTCTTTACTTAGGCTTAGGAATTGCAGTAACCCCAGAAGATCTACAGGCTGAATAAAGCCAATAGATTATTGGAATAAATATTTTTTGTAAGGTCAAAGTTTCATTGAAAGTTATTATTATTATTGGAAACAATTTATGTCATTGCATAGTGTTTACAAATAAACACCTATCAATGATCATATAAGAACCTATTATAAGACAGAGTTTGATCATTTACATATACACATGAGACGAATTGGTGCACCACATATCTTATCATACATGTGTTGTGTGGGAACGAGTCGCGATCGACTATGAACACCACTACAAAGGAACGCGTGTCAGGATATCCATAAAACCCCCCGGAAGCCAAATATCAGAAGGCAGTTAATGGACCAAGTCGAGATATATTTGCTGGCGAACTCGTGGTATCGAAAGAATACCGAGATCGTGCCAGGATACAAGCTTGGTTACTGAGCGTAACCGGATTCGTGCGAGGTCACAATTGAAGTAAGTATAATGGATGTTCTTAGCACAGTTAAACAAAGAGCACATTAAAACAGTCACTGGTACAATTGGTCATAATAATAATTGTTTGCAATAAACCAATCGTGTTCTCGTGATAAAAGTGAGTCATCACACATGTCCTTATCCTTACTAACATTTTACTTTTGGTCATGTAGTTTTATTGTCGTTCTAGGGAAAAGTATCAATACAAAAATTTGTTCAATCCTTTATTAATGGGTTACATAATTATAAATTTCAAGGTTTTTTATATTTAATTATTTATCGCTAGCTGCTCTATGCAACTATAAGAATGATAGGCAATTATAATGAATTCATTAAAGGATAATAAACTTTGTTATTATTACTTCGATTTATTTGATGTCAGATATCTTTCTAGATTTTATTCTACTAGCTTTTGGTTTAATAATGAATAATACCTAGATTTTGTATATAGAGTTCGTTAAAATGTTTACATAAGCGACTATTACAAAAGACAGTAAACAAGAATAATGAATGAAAGTTATTATAACTTCTTCACCATCATCATATATGGGTAGACCATTCATTCACAGCTGAAGATCAAATACGGCTTTACACAATTTGTGTAAAACATTTACTATTCATTCAGTGGAGATGTGAAACACCTCCTAAATTAAATAAACTATCATTTACCAAAGCATTTTATGACTGGACACGTTTAAAAAAGTTTGGTAGTAATTTTTACAAATTGTTTTTAAATCGGTTCAAAAATTCAAATTGGTATCACTAGAATTTCGAACACGTAAATACAGAGAAGGTAATTTACATGAAATCGCCAATTCGCAAATTTGATTTATTATAAATTATACCTTCTAGGCGTCAATCGGGAAACTGTGTACACTACTGAATACTTTTTGGACAGTTATTTATCGCAAAAGATAGAATCCAATAGCTATTTTTTTCGTTTTATTAATAGTATTAGTAGTAATTGTTTTATTCAATACCATATGTTTGATTACGGTGAAAAATTCGTCATGCGAAAAATGTAATGCCGCAACTTATGAAAATTAAAGAAAAACTGAATGTAAAATAAGTTTTTCAACAGCGAACCTGTTAGGTAATATGTCTCATTTCTTCAATAGAGAGAGGAGAATGAGAAATATACGGAGCACTGTGACAGTTCAGCTTGAATTTCTGCAGTATTTGGCCGTGTACATTGTGATTTCTATGAAAACATCTGAATCTATGAGATTAAATGAGAGAATTGGTCAATTAAATAAAAAATTGGTAAATAATAGGGCTATTTACTAAGTGGTAACATAAGCGGACCATAATTATGGCCAGACTTCTATTTTCATACTGTAGGTTTATTTGAACAATGCCTGATAATCACATCTGTATTACCAAAATGAAAAT